GATTATAAACTATGATTTTGGAGTTCTAATAGCTTACTTTTTGTTTATTGGTTTAGTGTTGTTCACAACGTTTTTCATTATTTAGTAAGTTGGTGTGGATATAATAAATATATATATGTGTTGGTTTAGTAGGTCAAAAAAATTCTTTTAATTATATTTTCATGTTAAATAAGTTATGTTGTTAATTTTTTACAGGATAAACTATGTCATCAAAAGCGGTCATGCTGAATCATTCATAAGAACAACTTCGTGCACAAAACATGTTTTCCTTTCTTATATGTAATTGAATTACTTATAAGACAAATTGTTATTTGTAGCTACAAAGTATTTTTTGTTATAATAGGATGTTACACATTTGGAGAATCTACCTTATGTTTTTTTTAATATTAAAAATACTTTTCAGCGACATTTTATATATGTGTCGTTTTGAAGGATAGAAATTGAACAAAATTGAAGGCAAAATTGGAATGAAAACTGGATTTTGCCTATTCTGGAACACAGTTTTAGTGACATCTGCTCTTGTCGCTGAAAATAATTTTCAGCGACATAATACAAGAAGTCGCTGAAAAGTATTTTTAGCGAGAGGAGCAGATGTCACTGAAACTCAGTTTTAGCGACATTCTGTCCTGTCGCTGAAACTTTAAACGACGTATTATCTGCGACATACTTAACGACAAAATGTGATTTGTCGCTGAAACTTTTAGCGACAAAATGGGACTTTCAGCGACATGTTTTAGGTGTCTCTGAAACTCATTTTTGTTGTAGTGAAATATCATTCATCATATTTACATATTCAAAAGCTAAATTTTATTATTGAAAACAATTTTATAGACTTAATTAATATCAAGTGGGGATAGCTCAGTTGGGAGAGCGTCAGACTGAAGATCTGAAGGTCACGTGTTCGATCCACGTTCACCGCAATTCATAATATTAATTTTGTCTTTTTAACAATCTATGTGACAATCTCTCATACTTGGAGGTACTCCATGATTGAAAATTATATTTTATAATTAATTTTGTTACTATTTTTGTTTTAAAATTTTATGTAGAATTTTTTTAACTTATTTAATATGAATGGATAAATTCATCATTAATTTTAATATATGATCCAATAAATTAGAAATATCACGTGTATATATAATACATGTACGATCATCTATGATGAATTCAAATGTTTGTCTGCGTGTTATGTGTATTCAAGAATAATGATGATTTAATTTTTTAAGTACAAGGCTATAAGGATTTGAAACGCCAAAATAAATTAAGGGAAGATGTATATGCCATGTACATGTTTATACACAATAGAAACCTTTTAATATAAATTTAAATCTTTTTATTTTTATGTCGCTCATTATTTATAGTTCAATTGATCAAGATGTCGATAACCTCTTGAAATTGTAGGTTCGAAATTTCATCTTCTCAGTTGAATGGCTGTGCTTTATGTTAGAATATTTTTTAAAAAATAACTAAGCAGTCCTTTAAATTAGAATAAATAAATAAACAAATAAAAAATTAAGAATAAAACACTTATTGTAAGGGGCGTCGTACAACAAATTGGGCTGTTAATTAATAACCATTGTATTAGGACCATTTAATTAAGAATTAAAAGATATGATATCAAAACATCATTAAATTTGTAGCATAGTGAAGTAATCATATTTTCTTTCCAAGATGGAGATTTATATATTTAAATATTGGGCAAAAAATCAATTAAAATTCATGGAAAATATTTTATTTCTTGTCATATTTAACTACTCTATAATAATTATGTAATGGAAAAAGAAAGCTTCCTAATTCATATATATATAACTCAATAATGGGAGGGACCATGAATTATACATTATTAAAAAATTTAAATCTTTTTAACTTTAAACCATTTTCTTAATCCCTAAACGTTGCATAAAAAACTATTTTAGTTGGCTATTAATATTTTATAAATTATTGAACATATCTCTAATATAAATAGATCTTTTCTTCATTTAATTGATAAAATCATAGAAGTCAAAAAAAAAAAATTGATAAAATCATAAATTAATTATATGTTATGGTAGAAAGTCAAAGTATCATGTTTTTAAACGAATTCAACGTTTATTAGTAAATTACATACAATAAAATTATCAACCAACACTATAAGAAAAGTTGGTTTCTTCCGGACGTTTGTTTTTTCGATCATGCACAAAAAAAAAACGTCAGGACAAATCACTTCTCCCAACCTTTTTCAGAAGGTCGGGAAAAAACACTAAAATATTTTTTAATACAAAATCCAAGGGCAAAAATAAAATATCTAGAATCCTCCAAAGACGTCACAAGGGCTTCAGATATTTGGAGATACCCTCTAAAATTCTAGAGATAAAAGTTCCAAAGTTAAAATTGTAGGGTTCATTTACTAACGTTCATGTTTCCTATTTCCTATTTCTTGTTTCATATTTCCTATTTCTAATTTTTTTAGAACTAAAAACTCGGTAACCATTTCTATTTTTCGTTTCTTGGAAAAAAATAAATAAAAACAAAAAATATGCTTCATGATGATTTCGTGTTTCTTGTGTCTATTTTTAGTTTTTTAGTATAATATCTTATTGGGGCGAGGATTTGAACTCATGACTCGTGATGAGATTATATGTCTTAATTTCAGTTGGCTTATTTTAAATTTTTAGTTAAAAAAAATTAGTAGATATAATACAAAAATATATACAATATAATCGAAGAATATAAATCATTAAAAATATGTATAATTTACGATATAAAATTATTTGATATAAATGTATAAATTATTTTTTAAATATAGAATAAATTTTCAAAATATTTTTAATTTAAAAGTAAAAATTTTATTGATTAAGAAAATATAATAGCTTTAAATAAAGATTAAAATTTTAAAATATTTAAATTTAACAAAATAGAAAAAAAATTATACATCCTTTGAGAAAATATTTTTTAAAAATAGCATTTGACATATAATGGGGATCCAATTAAAGAAGAGGCAGTAGAAGGTAAGTTTATGAGTCTGCCACCGGAACAAATTTCAATTTTATTCAGGAAAGTACAAGATATAATATTGTTGTGTCAAGATCGAACATAGTTCAACAGTAATTGACATGTATCTCCAATGAAGAGACAATAAATTTGATCTTTCATCTCCACATATTGTACTTAAAATAAGATAAAAATAGAATAAAACTTTTAAGTCGCCCCTAGATTATAAAAAAATTAAAAAGGAAAAAAAATAACGAAACTTACTTTCTATAGTTTTAAAAATTTTGGCTTATTTTTTGGAAACGTTTCTCAAAATTTGGAAATTAAAAACAAGATGGGTTACTAGATATGCATGTTAAAAAAAATGACACAGTAACATTACCGAACCGATTCATACTAACCTTAAAAAAATCTCTAAATTATCTCCCAAAAGCCTGATTAAAAATCAGTGTCATAGCAAGCCACATAAATAATGTAACGATATATACCCCAGGTATTAAAAAAATATATTTAAAAGATCATAAGCTATATATGAAATATATTTAGAAACAAAAATAACCCAAAAAATTTGTTATATATAGATTTATCTACGTGGATCAAATATTGCTCATTTTTTAAATACTACATATGGTTGGAGATTAACCATAATTTTACATCATCAATAGTTTTTCAACCATGGCTGATTTTTCATCCTACCTTCTTCTTCTTCTTCTCCTTTTCTGGTTATCCTACTTCCTCTTTCTCCGATCAATCTTCACCAGAACCCGGCCCAACAACCCCGGCCGGCATCCCCCGAGCCCGCGGTCGCTGCCGGTGATCGGCCACCTCCACCTCCTCGGCCGGATCCCTCACCAATCTCTCCACAAATTATCATGCCAATATGGACCATTAATGCACCTCTTCTTCGGCTCAAAGCCTTGCTTGGTGGTGTCCTCTCCTGAAATGGCTAAAGAGTTCCTCAAAAACCACGAATCCTCCTTTCTGAACCGTCCCATAAGGACCAACATAAACTATCTCACTTACGGCTCTGCGGACTTCACTTTTGCCCCCTATGGACCCTATTGGAAGTTCTTGAAAAAGCTTTGCATGACGGAGCTCCTCGGCGGCCGCACTCTCGACCTCCACCACCCCGTCAGAGAGGATGAGACGAGGCTGTTCCTGCAGCGGATTCGTACACGGGCTCTTGCTGGGGCGGCAATCGATGTTGGAGCTGAGCTTTCCAGGTTTGTTCAGTTATTTTCTCTAATTCAAAAGCTTAAACAAATAGACTGTTATAATATATACCGAAGTATATTAACTTGATTAAAAAGTGTGAATTACTTATTTGTTAATGTAAATATTTGATTAAATCAATCACAAGTTTTGGTTTTTCAATTCATTATTTCTAATAGATTCTTAAAATTTAAAAAGTGTCTAAGATCCATAAATTTTCAATATTTTTTCAATAATATTGTGTCAATATATCGTTAAACTTTTAATTTTGTATCTAATATATAAATTTCTTAAAATTTATAGATCATCAGTTGAAAAGTTCAGGGAGACTACTATGTTAAATATCTCACGTTAAAAAGATGAAGAACCTACAAAGATTTATAACATAAAAAACTACTTTTTTCGTAGCTAGTTAATTTTGAGATGAAACCTCACGAAAATATTATATTGATATACTACACTCCTAACATAACATTGTAAAACTTTGGTTACGATATGTCAAATCATTTAGATTTTCACAATTTTTTTTGACAAGGTTGATGAATAACATAATCTCAAGAACGACGTTAAGAAGAAGATGTCCGAAGGAAGACGATGGAGGGGAAGAAGTGGGCAAATTGGTGACGGAGATGTGCGAGCTCGCCGGAGAACTCAACGTGGCCGACATGATATGGTTGTGCAAGAAGTTAGATTTGCAGGGGTTTAGGAAACGAGTCAGAGATGTGAGGAAGAGGTATGATGAAATGATGGAGAAGATAATAAAGGAACATGAAGAAGAGAGGAAGAGGAAGAAGGAAGATGGAGTTAAGGATTTGCTTGATATTCTACTTGACATTTATGAAGATCAAAGCTCAGAAATCAAACTCACTAGAGATAATATCAAGGCTTTTGTTATGGTAAGTTTTTTTTTTTATATATATTTTAAGTTGTCCTTAATCAATATAATTTATCGAAATATAGTTGAACTGATTTAGAGGTTTATATTACAACTAATTAAAGAAGTCTAAAAATGATAATCATAATGAAACTATTTAGTATTTATATTCACAATAATTTAATATTGTTTTCATCCAAAAATATTTCTAATATATTGTCATAGTCTTCCCCACTTTTAAGCTATTATTCCCATTTTAAAATTTTTTAGTCTTTTTCTATAGACTAAAAAAATTTTGGGTTAAAAGAATTTTTTTGACCTCTATACCTTCAGTAAAATTAATAATTTAATCCTTCGTAATGATTTAATCTTTATAATTTCAAATATGCAATAATTTAATTATTTTAGGTAATAAATTAGTCTAGTATTTTAAAATTTGTAACAATTTTAGTTTTAAATTTTTTATCAAGATTAAATTTCAACTTTTATTATATTTCAATTTTTATTACGTAACAATTTAGACTTTGTAATTTATAACCGTATGTAGTCCCTTCATCATTTTATGAAGCTATATATACAAAAAGTTACCTTATATCTTAACAATATTTTTCACCCTGGATTATAAAATCGTTACAAATTTTAAACTACAGCTACAAAATTATTATTCAAAGACTAATGGGTTATAAATGGTAAGCTTATGAACTAATTAAGAATATGTTTGGGAGTGATTTCATTTTTGTCATGATCAAAATTACTATCATTTTCCTTCAGAAATTTAAAAATTGATTTTAAAAAGATTAAATTAATTTTAAAAATACCATTTAATATCAATTTTGAAAAATTAATTATACTTAAATCTCTTTTTAAAAAATTAGACGGTGAACTCAAGTGCACAAATTTCTTGTTTGACCAGAACATATTCGGCGCCGGAACGGAAACATCGGCGGCGGCGACAGAATGGGCACTGGCGGAGCTGATCAACAATCCGTCCGCCATGGCCAAAGCAACCGAAGAAATCGACGCCAAAATCGGAAAAACCAGACCCCTCCAAGAATCCGATCTCCCCAATCTCCCTTATCTCCAAGCCGTCGTTAAAGAGACCCTCCGCCTCCACCCCACCGCGCCGCTCCTCGTCCGGGAGGCCACGGAGCCCTGCGCCGTCGCCGGCTTCCACGTGCCGGAGAGCACGCGCCTGCTCGTCAACGTCTGGGCCATCGGGCGGGACCCGGCCCACTGGGACGACCCGCTCCAGTTCCGCCCCGAGAGGTTTCTCGGCGAAAATGGGAGAGCCCACCACCAGCACAGATTTGATCTGATGCCGTTTGGGAGCGGGCGGCGGAGCTGCCCCGGCGCCGCGCTGGCTCTGCTGCTGGTCCCGGCGGTGCTTGGTGGGCTGATTCAGGGCTTTGAGTGGAAGGTTCATGGCGGCGGCAGCGGTTGTGCTATCGATATGGAAGAGGCCGCCGGAATCTCTCTCCGGCGAGCTCGTTCTTTGGTTTTGATCCCGGCGCCTAGGCGCTCCCTCCCTTCTTTTCCATATTGACTACTGGTCACAAAGTTTGTGTCAGTAATTAATGTTTTGAAATGTTTTAATTATGTCTTAAAAATTTGAATTGTATCGAAGGTATAATTTTTAAGTCTTCATTGTATGTGGCGGGGATCGAACCTACAATTTCTTAGTTTGAGATATATATCAATTATCATTGAACTATGCTCGCTTTAACCGTATATTGTTAATTCAATCCTAACTTAATTAATAGATAAAATACTTATTACCTTTAAGTTGATGGTTGATCTTTCACCCCTTTTTTGAACTAAAAAAATAATAGGTATAACAACTATTATAGTCAACTAATTTGTAGGTACGACAGTAAATACTGCATGTTTTTTTTTAAAAAAAAGATATATATATAATTAAAATTTTAAAATATGTTATATTTGTCCTTACTTCTAAAAATATACATAAATTATGATACCTATTAAAATTAGGGTTTTGAATCACGCCAACATTTTGATCGAGATTATTTTGCATGTGTGTTCAAATAGGTTCGATAGCAATATAGGGATAAATCAATTATTTCCATTGTACAACAAAACGATCTATAAAATATAAAAATATCAATAAAATATTACTAATGTACACTTAATATTAATAACTTATTTAAAAAGGTTAAATTTTCCCCCACATATATTTAAAAAAAAAAGGCAAGTTATATTTTTCTTAATTTAAATATTTTGTATGATTTTTTATTTATTTTTATTTTTTCATATCTTATATGCAGACAATCTTGAGCGCACCACGACTAATCTTTTATTTTTAAAATCTTTTCGAAAATATCTATTGGCATTTCATATAAAACTGAGACCTCGATATTTTCATCGAAATCAACCTTCAAAATCTTAGTTAAAATGTCCGCTTTTTTAATTTTATGAGTTAGGACTATACCATATATAATTAATTCAATTAAAAAAGATTCCAAAAGCCTCAAGAGAATCTTGTGACAGTTCAAAGCCTTGAATTGTTCCACACATCACTCCAAGCCAACCAAAATAATATTAAAACAAAAGGACATCTTAGAAATATTCAACAATCATAATTAAGACCCCATTATAAATTATTTTTCCAACTACCAAAATAAAAAAAATAAAAAATAAAAAAACAAATTGTCATCAAGACAAGACATTGGACTAGTTCATGTGAAGTAGGAGGAAATTATGGGGAAGGAATTTAAGCTCATGAACTAAAAAATATAAGCCCATGGATTTGAATACTTTCTAAGTGTTTTAAGATAAAGCTCTCTTTCAATTTATTTATTTTCAAAACCAAGGAAAAAAATTTTAAATTACAAATATTGAGGGTTGTCTTTATTGATCCATAAACTATAAAATTTGTCTAATAGATATTTTAAGAACTAATATAATATATATTATGTTCTTTATTATTTTTTTTTCTGATAAATTCCTAACCTATTAGAATTTTTCCAAAATTCAAAGAACATATTAAACACACATATTGAAAGATAATCGATCTAATAGACACAAAATTGAAAGTCTCAAAAAATTATTAGACATTTTTTCTAATTTAAAAAACTTACTAAACACAACACTGAAAATTTTAAAACTTATAAAAAGAAAACTTGTTTGACATTTGTTAAATTTCAAGAACCTATTAGACGTACGTTTGGCTTGTCTCTCATTTCCAATTTTTGAAAAACTTAAGTGTTAGTAACTATTCATATTTTTTCATTTCTCATTTTTAAGAACATTTGAATTTGTGTAGAAATTTTAGTAACAATAGAATCAAGTTTTTTTTAGTTTTTTTCTAAACATAGAAATTAGCATAGTTTTATCACTTTCAACTTATAAAATTCAAACTAAATACTAAAAGACAAATATAACATTGAAAAATGGAAATATTTAATTTGAAAAATTAAATTTCATATAAAATTTGTGCTCTTTTCTTTAATTTTAAATAATAAACAAAAAAAAAGAAATAATTATGAAACATATCTATAAAGAAACAAAACACTATTTTTCTTAATAAAAAAACGACGAAATAAAAAACAAGAAACGAAAACATTAACCAGTCAACTCGAAAAGACCAATGGGCAAAGACTAAGGTAGCATATGATTGAAGACCTAAAGACAAAAGGAAAAGACATGAATGATTGTTGGAGCAGCAGAACCACCAATAAGACAGTTTGAAAAGGTGCCAATCAAATCCAACACCAACTGTCCTTTCCTTTTTTGGGCTTATTTCCTTCTTAACACAATTTAAGTTTTTTTCCAACAAAAATAACTACTAACTACTTGCTTAAAACAGCCACTTCCCTTTACAACAAACCATTTTTCCATTTATTCCAAAACATTTTTCATTACAAATCTCTCTCTTTTCTTTCTTTCTTTCTTTCTTTCTTTTTTCTGTTTCTTCTGTCTTCTCTACTCTTATTGTTCCTTACAAAACACATATATGTATAACTTAAAAACCTTCTCATCTTCTTCTTCTTCTTCTCTTCTCTATGTACAGAAGCTACCTCACATTATCTGATTCGATACCGGCTTCTGCATATTCAAACACACGCATTTCGTTCGGTTGTCACTTAGCGTCTGCAAGACAAACGAATAAACATATGTATGATAATCCTCTGTAAAACTGTTGGATGTATAGATATATCTTTCGGAGTCTGAATCGTTTAGTTTCTTTGTACCTTGAACTGTTTCTGAAGCTCTTTGATGTACTCGACCGCTAAGTCCAACATGTCCGCTGTGTTCGTTTGCTACACGAAGAAAAACGTCAGAGTGGAAATGGGGTTTTGAAGTTTTGTAGTGAGATTAATATGTGGATTGGATGTGGGGAAGTTTCTGTATGTATTTATACCTTGTCCATGTTTGGTACAAGTTCTTGTAGCTTCCTCATACGCTCGCTGATTCGGGTTCGTCGCACCTGCGAATAAATTGGCTCTAATTTTAGTAATTTGCAGTGTGATTTAAAGATTTCTAACTGGTGATTGAGAAAAAGTCGATAGCTTGTTGACTCGATAATTAATTATTCTCTTACCCGTTCTGCAATGCTGCGAGGATGAGTTGCGCAGCCTCGTTTCGCTCGAATTCGACAAGGCACGGAATCTTGGAGCTGCAACAACTTCTCGATGGAAGCTATGTCGGACGCGTTCTTGGGAAAGCTCAAGTGGTGCGATAACAAATGAACTCGGTTACTGATCTCGCCGTTCTGATCAACACCAAATTTTCCTCATGTTGACATCAATATATATGCACAAAACAAAATACTGCTTTTGAACTTCTCAGCTAAGTAATTGATCCATATATACCTGATGATTACTAGAAAACAACTTCCTGTTACTTTCGGGATCGGGATCGCATTTGACGCAGGGGAAAGCTTGGGAGAACTGAGACGATTCATTCCAGGAAGCGAACGGGAACCCGGAGGAGCCGAAGAACTGAGCCTCCCCATTGGTATTAGCAAGCTTTTCACTCCCAACTTGTTCAGATATCTGAGAAAGCATCCCCAGAGAAGAAGGTAGCAAAGAGGAGAAGCTAATTTGAGAGTTGTTCAATCTGTTTGATGGTGGACTAACTTCTCCTCCATTACTACTCCCACTCAACCTACTGAAATTTCTCCCACCATAGCCTGCAAAGTACACTCAATTCTGATCACAAAACAATCCAAACATGATAATTCAATTCTACACAGAAGATTTTCCAGTTCTGTCACAAGAAACAGAGGAAACAGAGTCCCTACATATCAGTATATATATCAGATCGAATTTTCCCATCATATTATTGACGATATGAAATGGAAATTCACGGGGGAAGTTGACTTCTGCCATTAATGCACTCAAAGCTTCACAGAGTAATGGAGGAGAAAAGTGAATTACCGTTTTGATTGAGGTGAGAGAAAACTCCAGGAGGAGAGCTATTCTGGCGAGCAAGATTAGAACCCAGCAACCCATAAGAGCAACTCATTGAAGAAGAAGAAGAAGAAGTTGTAGCAGAAGAAGCCGAAGACGAGGAACAAGAAGAAGAACTCACGGCGGAGGAGTGGCGGGGGTAATGCGGCGGCAGGGCAGAGGAGTAGTTTCCGGCCGCCGTAGATTCGGAGTCATTACTATTTCCACCGCCACCGCCGCCGCGAAATCTGGAAACAAATCGCTCGGATTCCGAGCCCTCGAAGTGATTCAACCGCTTCGAATCAACCCCATGAGCGAAATCAGCGAACAGAGAACTGGGAGCAGACCGAAATCGGAGCAACGCCGAATTGGGTTGCTGAAAACTCTGGTGGGTATTCGAACCCATGAATCAAAACCCCCAAAATCGGTCCTCTAAATCCCACTTCTGGGGAATTCCTCTCGCTTTCAATCAAGGGATAAAATGGAGCTTAGAAAACAAGCGGAGTGGAGATAAGATCTTATAGAAGAAGCCAGAAGAGAAAAAGGGGTTCAAAAAACGGACCCATAACCAAACTAATCAGAAGCCATGGAAGAAGAAGAAGCGGGATATTAAGAATTAGAGGGAGAATCAAAATCAGTGGTCAAAAGGGGCAAAAGGGGTGAGGAAGAAAAAGGGTTAGAGGAAGGAGGCGAAGTAGAAATTGAAAATGGATCTTGTTTTTTGGGTAATGAGAGAGAAACTGTACGGATAGAGAGAGAAAGGTGGGCAAATCCGGCCTTCCCCACTCGCTGCCTTTTTTTGATTAGGGGAAGGGGAAGAAGACAAAGTTTGCTATTTTGGGGCGATATTTTGGGAACAGTCTCAGTGTCACAGGCGCTGTTAATTTAGCAGAACCCCATTTTTTGAATATTAAATCTTTGATGGGAGTGGAGATAGCGATGAGGGCTGAGGAGGTGAAGAAAAAAAAGAAAAAGGAAAATAAAATGCCCATAAAATTCTCTTTTAGAAGGTGGTAGGGACATGGACAAAGATACTCTACTTGCGAGAAATTTTTCTCTTTTTCTTTAATGATATGTTAACTTACAATATAATACAATATGTACCACCAAAAAAAAAAAAATCGATCGACTTTGTATATTTTCAGTTGCAATACTACTCGATACCTTTTATAAATGTTTTAAAAATACATTATGCACATACGTTCATTTGTATAATGGAAAGGTAGAAATATAGAACGACATGCATGACAATTGACGTGGAGGATTGTTTGGATTGTCTACACAAATTTGTTCCTAAAAGTCTTCTTCCTCCATTGTTGATGGTGTTTGTTTCTTCATTGCCTCTCCAATTTTGCCCTAATTCTCTTTTTAAAAATGATAGTTTCTTTCATGTTTTCTCTCCCTTCGTACTTAATCTATGCAAGCTCCCATGTTAATTGACACATCGTTTTAGATTCTATTACGTCCAACTTTATTTCCATTTAAAATGTTAACGGTTGGTTAAATGGTATTTTTAAGACATTTATAAAAATGTCAAAGGTTGTTTGATCACGGAAAATGATCAACTCCATGAAGCTTGAACTTGGATGAGGTCGATGAATGAGGGAACCTGCAAAGAGAAAGTAAAAAGCTCCAATGCTCAAGTCAGTCTCAGTTCAGTGAACTTCCAACAGCAGTTGTAGCGCAGTTACGATCGTCTCATAAATCACGGCGCCTTGTAGGAGAAATAGTTGCTGGTTTGCAACAAACAACATAGTGATCATCGGCTCGTCCCTTACAAGAATGAGCTGTTGAGATCCTTATTGGTCGGCTCGACCTTTAATAAATTTCAAATGACCAATAATGGTAACGTGGCTAATCGACCTTTAAGAAGTCCCGAGCTTAGTATTTTTAACTTCAAAGATTTGGTCTCCAAATCACATCATTATGATGACTCGGTATCGTTCAACCTATAAAATGTTGACACATGGCTGATATAAATTCACCCCAATAAAGATAATATTAAAACTTTTGAAAGAATAGTAATATTTTTTTAAACAAATGACAAAGTTCGAGAATATATATATATTGGAAAGAAAACTTAGGTTTTTTTTTTTTTTGCAATAACCACAAAGTTGATATTAACACTAGTTAATGACAAGTACTATTGTGCTCGAGTCGAACTCCTATGAGAGGGAAGAGATCAATCGTTTGAAATATAACACACCTTCCATGTTGGTATTTAAGATACATGTTTCTTTCTATCTTAGTATTTGATGTACTAAAAAATTTTTAATTAAAATAAAAAATAATAATTTTTAAAGTATAACAAAAAGAAATGTTTATGAACAAATGAAGTCTTAAAATTTAAAAATACATCTTACATGCAATAATGCTGGCAAAACTTTTGAAGTGTTATTTTCTTTAACGAAAAAAATTGAGAATATATTATCAACAAAGTCTCACAAATATCTTTCTACTTTGTTTTTATTCTTTCATCTTTTTATGCACTCTTTTCCAAATTAATATCTTTAAATCACATTTTATCCCTAAAATTATTTCCAAATATCTTCTCCCACTACTTTTTCTATGCCCTTCTTAATATTTTTTTTCCTCTTTAGATGTTTTTTCTCATAATTCTCTCTCTTCACATATATTCTCACTCACTATTTATTATACATATAGTTTTATTGTAAATATTTTCTTTTGTTAGTTTCTTTATACATATTTTTTGCCTTTATTCTTTATTTCTTTTCTTCCTTGTTCTCTCTTCCATGTACTTTTTCCCTTCATCTATCAATATAGTATAATATACTTGTTATTTGTTATTCTGAAAATTAAAATAAATATTTATCACAATAACTCCCTATTTAAAATTTTAGTTTTATTAACAAAGGAAGTGGTTTTTAATTTGTTCTCATAATCCACAATTGAAAAAAAAAAACTATCCAAAAAAATGAGGTGGAAAATTTGGAGCAGGTTCTCTTTAAATAAGTTAATAAGTTACTAATATCTTGATCAGTTGAACTAGACTCAAGTCAGAACATTAAGTAAAATAGAGCAAGGTCAATAATATAATAGCCTAAAATATAGTCGTCATAGTCAGAACATTAAGTAAAATAGAGCAAGGTCAATAATATAATAGCCTAAAATATAGTCGTCATAGTCAGAACATTAAGTAAAATAGAGCAAGGTCAATAATATAATAGCCTAAAATATAGTCGTCATAGATAAAAAGTTGCAAAAATTGAAATGAAGTCATTTTAGCTCTCATATTTGACTTTCTTTTCAATTTTCTTTTAATACAACTTTGATAAGAGATTGGTGCCTTAATCCGTTAGAACTATGCTCAAGTTAGCAACCATATCTTCTTTTTGCAATAATGTGAATAGTTTGTAGTCAAATCTTGGTAACCTTAACTCAACTGGTTAAGGCATTTGTGTCCAATCAAAAGATTGTGAGTTCGAATTCCTACCCTTCATATATTGTACTCGAAAAGAAAAAAAATAGTCAAAATCCCTTTTGGAGACTATGTCGTTACTCCATTTTATCTGATAATCAGAATTAATATCATCAATATGTTATATCAGATAAGCTATTTTATTTAAACGGGCATGTAGTTACATTTTTACATAGTTTATAACACTATATGCTAACATAGTCTAATTTGATCATTATAAAATTTACTTACTCATTTTTCTCAAATTAGAAGTTCGAATCTCGATATTGCAATTCTTGTTGTACTCAAAAGGAAAAAAAAACGAACAATACTATGAGTAAAATCAAAATTCAAACTTCAAGTACACAATAAAATTTTTTTTTAATTTAAACTACCAAAAAATTTTATGGACTATATTCATAATTTAATACCAGTCGTATTATTTATATTTTTAAACTCTGATTTCCAAACACGCCCAGACACTTTATATATTGAGAAAGCCCACTATACTCTCGACAATTGAACCAATTAATTACACATTAATTAATGATTAAAATGATAAAATAGAAAACTTAGGTTATAAGAAATCTATATATAAAAAGTATATATGTTTGAAATTCTATTTTGATCCCTTTGGGCTTTTATTTTGATCTTCCTAGTTTTAGAAATGGATCATTTTGATCTATATATTTAAACATTTTACCACAAATTTTGTACCCAACAAAAAATCTTCAATATATATGACAATATTGTAAGAAAATTATTGAGTGTTGTGTTGTATTAAAATTATGATAAAGACAAAATTAAGAGATAAAGAAAAACTAATGAACCGAAACAATCGCTTTTTAAGAATACGTGGACTGAAACAGATAGATAGAAAAAAATTGAAAGTATGAAAACTAAAATAGAATTTAAACTTATTGACAAAAAATATCGAGGAAGAAACTTGGAGACTTCAAGGCAAGGGCGCTTAAGTTTCATGGTGGCTACCCTACTAGGATAAAACTCAAACTTCTAGTATTTGTTGATAGTTGTATGTTGTCTCAGGAGAGTAGTCGAGGTCCTACATGTAAATTGACCTAAAATACCCGTCGTATAATAAAAACCTAAATAATAATAATAAGTTTTAAAAATACTATTTTGGTTTTTGTACTCTTGGATTCGTTTATTTTGGTCCTTGTACTTTTAAATTTAGTTCGTTTTAGTCCGTAAATTTAAAAAGCGAACATTTTGATCCCTTTTTTTACCTAATGAAAACCTTCTAATACAAATTTATAACTACAATTGAAGAAAGTTAGTTAGGGCGTGTTCAAGAGTGATTTTGGCATGACAAAATCACTTTTGCCATTGCCAAAATCACTTCCATTTCCATAGATCGTCATGTTTGGCAAATTAAAATTTTGATTTTAGGAAAACATAAAATCACTTGAAATTGATTTTTAAAGTATCACTTAGATGATTATTTTGGAAAGTCAATTATTTTTAAATTTATCTTTTCAAAATCACTCATTCTAACATCACTCTTTAACACACCCTAAAGTTAAAAATAAATAAGATAAAAATAAAAAATGAAAATTTTAAAACATTCCCTTTTTAAAAGTATAATGATCGAAACGAAGCTTTTAAAAATACCTAAACTAAAATAAATAAAAATATAGAGACAAAAATGACATTTTAAAGTTAGAGAAACTAAAATGGCGGTTTTTTAGTACGACATGTGGGGAAAGAGATTCGAACTCACAACCGCTAGGCTTAAGGTATATGTCGATTATTATTGAGCCATACTCACTTTGACTAAAATGACATAGTTGTTTTCATGGCATCTGCATAATTCTGCATGTTGTCGTAACGTAATGGTAATGAAAATGAGAAAATAAAAATATACTGTGACGTCACCGTTTTGGAACCCGTGAGCACCGGATTCACGCCGCATCGGATTCCTCCCCTCGTGAATTTTTATTTTTATTTATCTTTTTGCAGCCGTCTTTCATAAAAAGCGAGGCGCCCTTGGACAACTTTTTTTCCTGTAACCTCCAAATCCCGCCAATCAATATATCTCCTCAATTGCCCCCCACCTAATTCCAATTTTACCCTTTGCCTTCTCTCCCAAGTTTTCTTTTTCCCTTCTCAATTTAAAATAAATATTCGTGGTAGATTTGTTTTCTAAAACTATTTTCCATCTGAAAATAAGATTTTTATGTTTTTAGTATTTTCACGTGAAAAGATGTAAACTCCGATACATATATTGTAAAATAATTATAGAAAATTTATAACATATATATTAATAATAATATTTTAGGTTGAAGTTGGTAACTTATCACTAATTTTAAAAAATATTATTAAATACATATTGAGGCTATTAAATGCATGTCTGAAAATTAATACAACTATATTTTTTATTCAATCTTTTTTTTTTTCAA